AACAGTAGCTAATAAACTTGGAAGAAGGTCTCACAGAATGGGGTTTGATAATTAGTAGATGTTGGGGACGCAGCCCCTCTGAAACTGGAGCATACTGACTGTAAATTTAGTTCTGATTTTATTTTGGAAGCATTTCACTGAGACAATGTCTTACCTCCGCAGCATTTGTAAATATATTTGATATCTCTCTGTAGTATCAGAGGAGGAAAACAGGTCAGTATATTTACTTAGTGATAAATGCTTGAACTAAAAAAAAAAAAAAAACCACCACACTAAACTAGCTAGAATTTCACTTTGTTAATATTAAGACAAACAGCTCCTCCTTGGAGGCAGCACACAAGAAGTTTTGCTTAGTTCTGTTTTATGAACTGATAGTGTAACTTCAAAGAATTCCTCCATTTCTGGTCGGTCAAAAAAAATCTCACACACTATTCTGGAAGGCAGCTGCATGAAAAATCCTACAAAATAAGAAACAAGGATAATTATTTGCAACCTGCAGCCGAATGAGATAAAGGTGTGAAATCTGTAGTGATCCACATCTGAACTTGGATTTTGTCAGAAGTAAAATGGGTCTGGTTTGTTCACTATTGTTACTACCTGCCACGTCTCTGCATCAGAGCACTATCCTACTACATGGCACAATTAAGTATAATTGACAGCCTCCAGAGAAAAAGAGACAACTAGAATATAGAATGGAGAAGAGAAGGTCACAATACATGTCAGGGATGAGCTGTACTCAGTAACTTCTCACCTGCTCTTGCTTTGCCTGCCTTTCTTTTCACCAACTTCCAAAATCAAAGCAGAAATCACAAATGCTATACAATTTTCCCCTCCAAAAAAAAAAAAAAAAGGCAAAAGGCAGACAGTGCCCTCTTATAGCTCACATCCCAAGTTCAGAATCATTAATACTCTTAATATATTACTAACAATGCCAAGTCTACAATACATAGCCTTCTATGAAACACATTTATATAAACAGCTAATATGAGGATGTCAATGCAGCTGTATTATCAAAGCTGGAAGTCTTTTCCAACCTAAACGATTCTGATTCTATAACAAAGTTAGCCTTTGAAGAAACAAGAGGCATCTCTTTTTCCAGACAAAAAAAAAAGAAGATAAATTTTTCTACCAAGCCCCTCATAGAATCCATTAATTTATTTATAAAATCATTTAGCCCTCACCACGTGATCTCAGTATAGCATCCACTTATCTCTAGCTAACACAGCTGAGGAAAAGAACACAAGCTGTTCTGTCTGCTTCTTTGCTGTCACGGTGCAGTCTAAGAAGGGCATACCATCTTACATCTTCAGAGACACATCTTTTTGCATTTCAAAACTGATAAAGCAACCACACGCATGTGCATGCATGTATCTTTACAGATATATAAATATGCCTGTAGTAAAGGCATTGTAACTTACTGTGAACAGTACTGAAGAGAGCTTGCACTAGTTTATGTTATGTCTGATAGGCTCAGAGAGTTTAAGAAATGGCTGGAGATAGATGAGACATTGCAAAGAGCTGACAGTTTCTTCTTGGAGGGTAAATTCAGAGTCTGACATTATAAAAGAAAAAAAAATCCTTCTGCTGCAAAAGAGCTGTGTATGTATGGGACAGTCATGAATTATGCACTTGAACACACCTGCCCTTCCCCTTGGTCCCTTCAAGAATGAGAAACATTGCGAGTGATTATCAGAGGCACAGTATTTATCGTGACATGACGGCAAAAGACGGGAGGAGTTCACATGCCATATGCACACTACAAGAAAGGTTGGCCTGGATGTAACCAACTGGATACCAGTAAATAGTGAAGCCTAGAGGGGGGGAAAAAAAAAAAAAAGATTGTTTTTGTGTAGTAGAGCTGGCTTCTACAGACAGCAAAAGGTAGTTCTGAAACATCAGAACGAATGAAGCCCACATACCTACAGATCCATAGCTTGTGGGTGATTGACTTCCCCATGCAAAAAGATGCAAGAGCAAAGATTAAAGCTTTTCCTATCGTAAAGGCATTTAAGAAGTCTAGCTGCCCCCGCTATTCTCCCTAGGTAACAAGTTAAAAGTGAGAGTCTTTCGCTCAGAGGGAACTTCTACAGTCTCCTTCTTTGACCAGCAACCTATTCCATCCAACCCTCAAGAACAGTGTTTGTCAGCTTCTACTCCTCCGCTAAATCAGACCGAAGTTGGCTCGCATACTCACATCTATTGCTGGGGGAGGGAGGGAAAGCTTAAGTGACACAGACATATTCATGTACAACACGACCGTTTCCTTATAAAACCCCTTCTTCACTTGAGTAATAATGGGGCCTGAGGTTGCAAATTTTTTTTTAAGTCAAGAATAAAAGATCCTAGTACTTTATCATATCTTCTATGGAAATACAAGCTCTTCCAGATTTCCTGAACCTTTATTGTTAAGGAGACAAAGTAAAGATCTTTGTGGACCTAGAGCCTTCTGTAGCACTTGAATAAACTATAAAGATATTTACAATTTCTAACAGTCAGCTCAGCCAAGCTTGTATTTCAATCACATACAAGGAGACATAAAAATCCAAAGTCTAATTCCTAGCTGTCTGATACGACAGTTTGCAAATGACCATCCTTTCTTCTTTCCCACCTATTACTGAAAGACTAGTATCTGTATTACAGATTAGCTACTGTTTATCAGCATGCCCATAATTTATCCACCCTGGCCAAACAGAATTTCACATTCATTATAAGCCAAGCTTCTGGTAAGTCTTTGCAACCTGTATTTCTTTATCTGTACTTCTGTGGAGCTGAAGTTTCGATAAACATTGACTGCAAGAATCCACTACAGTTCATGTACACAAAATGCTAAAAATATGAGCATGAATATCTAACACTTTTATGCTAATCATTAAAAAGATCACAAATTGAAAGCATACGATAGAGAAATCTGTCTTTTTGTCATATACAAGGAACATCAAACAAAGCTATGGATGTTTCAGCTAGCTGCATCCAACTAAAGTATCAGTTCTTTCATGAATTAAAGCAGCAAGGTTTTTTAAACCATAGGAAAGCTCACACTTCCAAAATATAAAGCCAAGAAGGGGTAGGAAGTGATTTGTGCAAAACTAGAAACATCAGACTCTGACAGTGTATGCAAAAATCTATGATATAGGCCATTCTAGAAAACAAAATATTTAATCAAGGACACCACTGTCAAAATAGTCAGCTCAGCTGAATTAAATGTAGGCCGTACAGCCATAAACCTTCCCCCCATCCCTTTTCTTTTTCTGCATTCATAGCTGATTTTGGTCTTTACAAGCAGCAAGATACCAGACAAGCAAAAATATGGAAGGCTTTAAATGGAATTATTTGATGTGGCAAAACAGCTTTTAGGGACTGGAAGCGTTTCGAAGAAAATTGTTTCCTGCTGTGTTAGAAAACTGTATCATCAAAAGTAAAGAGGTTACCCACTTAGATATTACTGTTATCCATTATTCCTTTCCATTATGCTATTTTAGGGTACACTACTCCTTCCCCTTTGAGCAGCAGCAGTCTGTCCACATGGTCAGCAGAACAACTGACTTGCATTCGGTCTTTTCTTGGCATTTTCCTTCTTGCCTTAGAATCTGTACAGTCAGTGATTTCATTTTATTTCCTTGCTAGGCAAAGCATTTAAATAAGAGATCCTTATCTCTGCCTTCTGAAGTGGTGAGCTAATCCCCCCATTTGTTTTATTTTCCCTTGTGTTTTTTCTTCCCTTCCATATGCATAGCTGTAAGTGATTTGTGGATCCTTTTCTCTTTGATACATGATTTATTTGGCTCAGTTTCCAACGCTTTAGTGTATTCTGCTACCCTACTGCCTTTGAGTCACCAGAATTCCCTGTTCCTCAACTTTCAATCCTCTGAAAACATAACCCTCCTACCACTACATTTTGTAAGACAATTTTCAGTTTCTGCTCCAAGTCTTCTGCCTTTCCCTCTACATTTACACTAGGTATTATAGCATAAGCACAGCTCAAAGCAATTACCCTTATAGCCCCAAGACCACATTCCTTATTCTTGTTTTTGTTCTGAACTGTTTATTTTCAGAAGTAATGCTACTTTAAGAACTGAGATAAAGGAAGGTGGTGTGTAAGAGAGGGTGTTTCTACAACATGTCAGCAAGTCAACACTTGTATCAAGGCTCCATAACCAAGAATATTGTTTTCCCATTCCAAGCTGATATTCAAACAGGAATCATGACACGAGCAAGAGGCTACAATAACTCTATCCAACTGTATGGAAAGGCCTGATTTGGTTATCTCAGTCTGAAGACCACATCAGCAGCGAGAAACAACTGAAACGCTAGTGCATGTATGTACCTTTAAAAAGGGAAGGAAGAGCTGTCTGACTGTTCAAAAGGAAAACAAAGAACAACACCCAGAAGGAAACTAGAGTGATTATCTGAAGAGCCACTTAGCTGTATCTCCGCCTGTTTGCATGTCCTGTTATTTAAGACGCAGCCATTGCTTTTCCAGTCCTCCCATTCCATTTCCCTCCCCAAGTCTCCTTGAAAGAGGCTGGACCTACAGGAGAAACATGTCTGACAGCCATGCAATTATTCTTTTGAAAATCAGTTAGGTACCAGTTCACGTTGCTCCTCAAGTGCAGTTTGAGAAACAAGCATACTTATATACTTTTATGTATAATGAGCACTGAGTAAAGTTTAACTTGCATTTAGGAAAGAAATTAAATAAATCCAGCTATTTTTCTGGAGTTAACAGAAGAACATGACCAGCTCAGCTAGCGTACCTCAGTTTTATTTCAACAAACATGTTTGTTACCTTCACGTGTTTGTGTGCCTGATTTTGCCTCTCCTATTCACAAAAAAAAAAAAAGATCTTCTGGCATGAAATTATATAGCAATGTACAGTATAGAAGAATCTGATTTGAACTGTCAAATGGCATTTACTCAGAAATATGGTTATATATGAAAACCACAAGTATAATGTTTTAGTTGTGGTATGCTGGAATAGGAGGAAAAAATACAGTTAAGACTGTTTCTATTTCCATATACAACTTTTATTGCAATACCTGTATTCTAAGTGTACAGATACAAATATAAAATGATCCATGACAGCCTTCAAACCTGCCCAAATAGCGAATTGAGAAATTCATTCGGTGTTAGAGCCAAAGTTGACAGGACTTCAACAGGTGATAGGAAGCTTCCCCAGTCTCTCTCCAAGAACAACCAGGATCCACCATATTTTTGGTCCAAGATGTATTTTTTTAAGTTGGCGGCTGAGTCTATGAACGAGTGTATTTACCCCAGATGTGCAGCATAAACACAGAAGCAATAAAAAGAAGACTCATGACCAAAACTGGAACAGGCCCACTAAAAATAAAGAAAGAAAATGCATTAACATAAAAAAAAAAAAAAAGGTAAAAAGGTCTGTTTGGTCCAAAGGCCAGTCATTATCAGCCAAGTGAACTCATCAGTTCAGTTCATAAGTAATTGCACGAGAAAACTCTTATTCCATTCCCATAGAAATACCCTGAAGTACACAGAAATGAGATAGCCATCTCTATCAAAAACTGCTGCTGCCCCGTGTTTTAAAAGATAGTTTTACACACCCTAAATGTTATGTAACCATGAAGCACAATATAATAACAAAAAACCCTACTTATTTAAAAAGTATTTAATGGTTCATTATAACTCATCATTGTGAAAACAATCTCCGGAAAATTATCATCTGTATTTACTACTCAGATAGCCACCTGAGGGGAGATGTAGTCAGATACAAAAACCAACAGAGTCCTCTAGCGGCTAGTAAAATTTTGGCATAAAATTCGCATTAGCTGTTTTTTCAGAGGTTTTATTTCATTTGAAAACAATGCCAGCACTGGGTGAGAAACGGGGACTTCTGTTTTCTTGAAAGAGACACACAGAATGTCAAAGTTAACTCCATCATTAAATCATTACCTAAAATGTATAAATTAACAAATTTCTTAACTTTTTTCCTTCCCGCTTTTATACGTGGTTTAGAAATTGTATAGTGATGTTTTTAAAAAACAGTTTAATCTTAGGGTGCATGTTGAGAGGCTAAATCAGCTGGTTTACACTGTTCTGGGACACAACAATTACACGCACTGTTATACAACTACACACACTCAACACTGCTTCATACCACTCCATACAATCTCATTTCTGATTTTCAACCTACTACTGGGAGAAACACCATGATTTCTGTTATCCAGCCTCGATTACCCTCCAGGTTACTGTTTATAAGCAGGTACATCTTACTTGAATATGAATTAAAAAAGAAACTGCAAATGGACTGAAACAATTCACTAGCTTATTTTTCTGTGAGATCATAGCCCATGTACTTCAAATGTTCATAACTATAATCTTACACTGAGTTTTAAAACTCAATTTTTATCTGCCATACTTAGACTTATCTGGGTATGGAGAACCCTAAAAACAGACATAAAGCATTTAGCAAATAAGCCAATGACAAAACACGCAAAATAAAAAAAGTCCGCACACACGGTGACTACATAAGCAACCCCTATGAAGGGATATCTTTCACTAAGCAACAGAATGCACTTCTCAATCCCCAGTGTTTTATACATATTTGAAATTTATGTCCTACATAATATAAATTGTAACAGTATCAGGAGCACAAAGTCCTTACACTGTATCTGAATTACTATTCAATTCATTTGAGCCTTTAGTAGTAGTAACACGTAAGCTACTCTTTGCCAAAGGCACACAGGAATAGAGGAGCACCACCAACCAGAACAGAGCAACATGGAAATAAAAGAGTGGGGACTGTTTGTGTGTTTGGTGGGTATTTTTAAACATGCAGATGACATTGATCCCCCTAGAGAATAATCAGATTTCCAGTACTGACACATATATCTCATTTCCTCCAGTCCAAAGGCAACCGGCTGAAACCCTGCAATTCTCCTCCACACACCTGAATCTTCTCAGCCCACCATGCAGTTTAAATAAATAAATAGATTCAGGCACCTCTAAAGATTTGGCGCTGTGCATTCTCAGAATGTCTTTCATAAGGCTGCATATTATACTACAAGGCAATTTGATTCTCTATCATGGCTCCACAGGAAACACTGCCTATAGCCCTTTAAGCAAGAAAGCTCAAGACAAGATACAGGAACCACAGGTACCAAGTGCCACAGAAAGAGCAACAAGTTTGGGTTTAGTCTTCTTTTCAAAGTATGCAATGCTTGATCTGAATTTTAAAGAGAAAAATATCTTACCCCAATCTCAGCCAGATCCCCCACAACCCCCTTTTGCTAGTGTTGTTTTTAAAGACATATTTTGTAGCATCTTGTACTACAGATAAATGTAATTTCCTGAGACAAACAAAACTTGCTTATTCAGCATATTTATTATTTTTTATATTGGGTACAGACACTAAATACCTCAAGCATCAGAGGTATAATTATGCACAGTATAAAATATAAAACTTTTGATCCAGAGCGGAATTCTCCTGATCATAGCTAGCATGAAATAACACGTCCTCAGGTGTTTTTATGTGTTTTTTTCATAGTAATTTTAAGAGCTAATAGTTTAAACAACATGAGAAAACACAAAAAATCCCCACCACCAGGCTAAGCTTTCACACTGCTTTATGCAGTAGTGATCACAACCATTTTTAAAAACAACTTTGGCTGAAGTACTTTACTGAGGCAACCACAACCTTTCTATAACTCATTTTCATTCTTAAGCCTACTGAATAGGACAGAGATCATAGCAATTGGTTGCTATGGAAAAAACATATGTAGAAAAATACATGGAACGCTGTAAGCAAGGAAGTTGCTCCCAAGCCATGGTTCAGAAAACACTGCATCTAGTATGTAGGTGATTTGTAAAACCAATTCACTTTTCCAGATTTGTTTCTTCCATTAAAAGCCTGACCATACAGCTGCCCATGGTACCTTGCCAAAAAACCACTCCCAGTGTTCCAAAACCTTAAAACTGGGTAACACCGTTTTGCAACATAAATAGAAGGGAAAATCGATCTCCTGACCTGCTTGTATTGAAGATTAGAACAATTCAGTGGCCATCCAACATCAAAAGTGAAAACAAACGATTCACAAGGAAACTTACTGAATTTGGTAAAGCTGCTTTGACAGCTTGTATCACAAGTCTATTGAAAACAAAATCTACCTAATGGTAGAACACTGGTTTTCCTCAATTTGGTTTTATTCATTTTTTTTTTTAATTGAGCTTTAGTAGACCAAACAACACAGAAAATAGTTGCCTTACTTATCCACATAGATTTGCTCTAGAACACTATTGTTGCTCATTGTCTTTTTCTTTGCCTTGTCTCCTCTCTGGATTCAGAATGGAGAAGCAAGACCTGCAGTAGCAGAACACCACTACCTTGATAGTTTGCTGTATAATTTTTATCCTTTAAAGCATCAAGCACATACGAAAATGAAAACACCTAAGACATCTTCAGAGGAAGGATAACTCATGGAACAATCACTAACTAGACTATCACCAACCCTTCCCCAAATGTTCTGTTCGTGCAGCCAACAGCAGCCCTCTTAAAGAGCTCCAAAATAAAATACTAACGGATTCTAGAAAAAAGAAACAATAAGGACATCCCTGAGTGTCTTGAGTCTCTTCAACCCAGTAAGAACAAGAGGCCATGAAGTATAACTCTACAAGAAGCACAAACTCCCACTCAGGGTATGACTTGGCATGCACCCATCAGCTGAAATACACCTTCCACCTTTGTTACCTAAGTATTAGGCTGCAAAACCTGTTTGGGAAACCAATCTGAACGACTCAAACTGGCCAAAAAGTAAAAAGTAAGGCTCTCTTCACAGCTTAAGGGACACTGCCACCAGATATTTGACCATAATCTTGGAATATTCACCTTGTAAACACAGAGATATACAAGGTATCGGAATGCTATTCACTTTGCAAGCTTAACTAAAATAATTTCTCTTCAGTTTTGTAAAACATCTGAGATTCTGCAAGCATGTGGCATATCAGTTATATCATGCTTTCAAGGGAGGGGGAGTGCAGGATCACAATATACCTATTAATAAAGAAAAAACAAAAGTTTAATTAAAGGGAACAAAAACATGCACACAGATGCCTAAATTCACTGTGACAAGTAATCTTTCCCAACTTCAAAGGGATTGCTTGCAGTTTTCAAAGATCACTTAAAGTAAGTCTGGGCAATTATACAATATAACTCATACCTACCTTTTTAAAGCCGCTATAACTCTGAAAACTATCTCTCCAGGTTTACAAATCAAATATTTCGGCCCAAATCTACCTAAGCAGCCATCAATTCAGCCTGTTTTCCCATGCAGACCAGAACATTGACCTCTCAATTGAAAGACTGAAAGAGTACATAAGCAGGTGAAATATACAGCCCCCATGCCTGCCACCACCCATACAGCCAACTTACACTTTGAGCCCCGGAGAGTCCTCAGTGTAGAATCGCCACATCCCACCAGTACCCGTGGAGGTGGCACGGCCTGCGCTTCTCGTCCCACAGCTAGCATTCTTCCTTTAGGGGATAACAGAACGAAACAAAGGCCGTAACGCGTTAGCGGCCTGCCAGCTTCTAGCACGAAGCGCCGCAAGAGACTCTGCAGAAGCAAGACACTTGCATCGGCCCGTACAGCCCGGCAAGCAGAGAGCATCAGCTCACGCAGGCGGAGGGCACGACGGCCGGCGCGGCGCGGCA